ATTAAACAGTTAATACACATTGTTTTGTGACATTGATTGCCAACCCCGCAATGTGTCAACACTCTCCCCTTCTTGACCTTGGGTTCCCCATTTCCATTCATCTAGCTTTCCTGTCCCCTCCTGCCTTCTCGTCCTTGCCCCTGGGCTGGTGTGCCCATTTAGTCTAGTACACATGGTTGAACTATGTGTGTTATTGTTTGTTTTACAGGCCTGTCTAATCTTTGGCTGAAGGGTGAACCTTAGGAGTGAGAAGTCATAGGTATTTTTATACCATGTTAGAGTTGTTACAGATCTTTTGGAAAACCATTTATGTATCTCTACTTAGAAATTATGGTAATATATCTAGTTATTTAATGTGTTAAAAATGAAGTGCCTATAATACTCTGTTACATATTTAGTAACTATTAAGTATAATTGGCTATTTTATGTGTCTATGTATTTTAATTTGTGCATTTAAAATCATTATTCTAAGAAGGGATCCAAAGGCTTTTTCCTTAAAATCATTGTTCTAAGAAGAATGTTCTAAGAATGTCCATGGCCTTCCTCAGGCTGCCAGCAGGGTCCATGGCAAAAAAAGGGTTACAAACCCTGAGCCAGCAGGAGTCTTCATTGGTGACACAAAGGCATAAATGCCCAGGCTCTGCCTTTGCCTCCCTGTGTGACCCTGGATAAAACACTTCATCCCTGTGTCAACATCTATCAAATGTTCTCTGATTCTGTGGCATCTGGTGTGTTTTTTTAGCTCTTTAATTACTCTGAAATCACGATTAGCACCAATCACTCCTTGCAACTGGAAAAACACTAAGTGCAATCTTCTCTTGATTTAATAAGTACTTTAGTAATTTTCCAGTGACCTCTACTTTGAACTTTTCCAGCTTGTTAAATCACTGATTTCTGTTTCCCCCTGTAGAGAAGGAGAGTAACACACTTGAAGATAAATCAACAAGTCATTATCAAGCACCTTCTAGGACCGCAGGCTCCATTTTAGAAGGCTGCCTTCTCTCCTCCCCATGTCTTCTTGATCCTAGCACAACAGGATGGAACCCACTTAGAACAGAACCACAGTTAGTTTATCCTGCCTGATCTGTTTTCTTCCCTGCTTGAAAAAGACCCCCCATGGACTGGAGTTTTCTTAGTGAATGAGCTAAACCCTCTTTTGACAAGAGAAGCTTGAAAGCAACTTTTCTCCCTGATTCCTGGCTGCAAAGCAGCCAGCATTGGTGTGAGCACAAAAACTTAATAGTTTTCTATCTTAAAATCCCCTCGATTTAGACTCAAACTTTCATATTTGGGGTATACTTGGGTACAGTTGTCACAACACTCATATTTTTATTGTGGAACCAAAGGTGAGGTTATACAGAAAGGATTTAAAAACCAAACCCGTTGCCATCGAGTAGATTCTGACTCATAGCAACTTAGATTAGATAAAAGGCAATGGAAAGGCATCTTGGAATTTTGGAGCAGAAAGAAGCCTTGGGGATCACCTGGTCCACCCCTTTTGTTTTTTGGAAGGATCCATGGTCTGCCTGGAACGCCCTCAGAATGCCAGGGTTAGGTTTCTCTGCTCCTAATGCCCCTGTGCTTCCCTCTTGCTTGTCACACAGGCAACAAGGTCCACGGGGGCTGACCCTGTGTTGTGTTTCTCAGTATCCCCAGCAGCCAGCACAAGATCTGGCACATAGTAGGCCCTCAATAAGTGTTGATACCTAAGTTTGGAGTGTATCTTGTTATAATTGGACCGTTGGCTAAACTGGGAATGTGCCACTCACTGCTCTAAGGTGCTGTATGTTTATCATTTCATATATCAATAATACATCAAGGTAGCATCCTGAGTCTCTATTTACTTATGAGGCAATTGAAGCACAGAGAGGTTAAGTAGATCATTCAAGGTTACACAGCTAGGAGGCATGGAGCCACAAGCCAAACCCAGGGTGCTGGCTCCACAGCCTGTGTTTTTGACCACTATGCAATGCCTCCACTAATGGCTGAATGCTGTAAAGACTCCGATAGATTCACTGCTTGATGGTAACAGAGTGAATTGTTCCAATTAGCTGGGATTATCATTTGGTTTCTACCAGAGGATAATAATACCAACATACTGTGTAGCGAAATGACTTTTTGAACAAGTCTGCATCCCTGAGCCATTCCCAGCAATGTCTATCGCGGTTTTATTACAACCACTGCTGTCTGCATATGTATATAACATGAGTTAATTCACGAAAACAGTACCTGACACAAAGCAAGTGCTCTGTCCACTCTTCTTTACTTTATAGTTTACAGAGTGCTTTCACATCAGTATTTCATTTAATTCTTACAACAACCCTGTGAGGAGAGAATGGTATTACACCCATTTTAGAGCTGAGGGCTCTGAGGCTCAGGATGGTGAAGTGACTTATGCAGGGCATCAAGGCTGGTTAGTGATTGGTGCTGCAAGTAGAACACAGACCTTCTGGGAGAGAGTGGGCTGTCCCCCTATTCTGTGCTCTCCTTGTATCTTCCCCCATGATGGTAGGTCTCTTGTATGTGAGTGTCCAGCTTTCTTATTGAAAATGGTTTTGCTAAGGATAAGAGTTTCCCCATTTGGAGAGTAGAGTGGTGGTTCTCAACTTTGGCTGCGCACTGAACTCACTTGGCATGGCAGCCATGGAGGACAACCCTTGGATCTCGCTTCAAGAAAGAACTTGCCATTTAGCTGCAAGGAGTGCAGTTCCTTCAGCCTTCAGCTACAGCACCTTCAGGATCCACCTCTGCTCTTCCTGGGCAGCCCCCAGCCAATGACTGAGCATGGCAGGAGCACCAAGAACTGGCTATTTCAGCCTCACAGGGTTCCCTCTGACAGGCATCTTTGCCCCAGAGCTTCCTGGTGGGTTGACCGCATCTCAGGCAGAGGCTCTTCCTCACCAATCCTGCTTCCCTTTCACAGGCCCTACCTCTCAATAAACCAGTTATACACCCAACTCCAGCTCAGATTCTCCTTCCTGAAGGATCCAGCTGATACACCTGGGATGTTTTAAAAAATACTGATGCTCTCAGAGATTTTGATTTAATTGGTCTGGAGTGCAGCCTGGGTGATTCCAATGAGCAGCCAAAGTTGAGAACCAGTAGAATAGAGAACAGTTGAGAAGCAGGAGTTCCTGGTGTTTTAAATTAGAAAAAGACCTGCTTTCTCACACTTCACGGAGGCCTCAACAAATCATTTCTTTAGGTTAGTTTCAAATACTATTGGCCACCCTTTCACCCTTTTCCACCATACATGCAAATTCCTAACCCTCCAATTCCTTCCTGCAATGTGTGAAGGAAGGTAACATTTGGGAGGGACTGTGTGGCACCTACTGAATTTCTGGGATTCTACGTGACACCTTATACAATTTATCTTAGATATGAGGGGTGTTTACCCATAAGCCCACATAAAAGTAAAAGGCAGAATTTAGGGAGAAATTTGATGCCATTGCCCAAATCATTTTAGCCTCGGCATGATTCTTTCACACCTTTCTCTAGTCAGCAAGAGTTGTTCTGGATTTTGCACTTTGGGTGTCAGAATTTGTGCTGTGATTTTATATGCTTATATTTGTGTAGCCTCCTCCACCAGACTATACAATAAGCTCCTTGAGGACAAGCATGTCCACAATCCCAGCTCAGAGCATAGGCCCTCACAGGCCCTGGCACAGAGTTAAGTGCTCACTGAAGGTTAAAACAAAACAGTGAAGTCACCAAAAACTAAAAGATGATAGCAGCCTTGATTAGAGAATAATAAGATAACCTACCACCCCACTAATGTTCAAATACCCTGTAAGCCGTTTTTATTTATATTTATTATTTTAGTATACGTAACAAATACTTTTATAAGGATTACTATGTGTCAGGCACTGTTATAACTGATTTCCAAACATGAACTTATTTTATTCTTCTAACAACCTTTGCCTACCATCAAGGGCTACAGGAGTTCAGGGAGGGGAGGGCTCGAAGAGCTCTGGGATGGCCTGGACGGCTTCATGGAAAAGGAAGATTTGAGCTTCTCTAGACTGAAACAGACAGGAGAGAGTGGAGAGGGAATTCAAGGTACCAAGAATGCACTTGCAAGGGGGTAGAGGTAGGAATACTTACTGCTCTTTGGGGAAACTGCAAAGTGACGGTTCCCAAGGGAACTGAGGCCGGAAAGTAGGCAGCAGACTGATAACACTGAGCCAAGAACACCCAAATATCAGTTGCTGGACTTTGTTCTTATTTGCTGATGTGTCATAATATTCACATTAATGCATGTTAATCAAAGCCACCTGAAAAAGAAGTGGCCCATCCCTCCAAGAGGTAAAAATGAATAATTAAGATTCAGCAATATATTATGATAAATAACTCTCCTAGAGTTGGCAAGATCATCCAATCCAACCTCGTAGATGCTAGAATGTCTTCTACAGCATCCATGCCGAACGGTCATCTCCACCTGCTCCTTGTCTTTTCTTCTTCAGGCTAAACATCTCCAGTTTTGTTCTTCGTAGAACATGATCTCAAGAACCTTAATCATCTTGTTCATCTTCCTCTAATGTGGATCAGTCTGGATATTTTACGTCTTACAGAGAGGGGTCCAATTCTCCAGGTAAGGTCTGTCAGCTAAGAGGAGGGCTGTGCTATCATCTTCTTCATTCCAAATACTCCTTTATTAATGAAACCTAGGATCACAGCCTTTTTTTTTTTCCTTAAGAATCCACAAAACACTGTTGATTCATATTCAACTCCTTACGGGCTAAATGGAGCCCTGGTGGCCCAGTGGTTCAGAGCTTGGCTGCTAACCAAAAGATCGGCAGTTCAAATCCACCAGCCGTTCCTTGGAAACCCTATGGGGCAGTTCTACTCTGTCCTATAGGGTCGCTATGAGTTGTAATCAACTTGACAGCAATGGATTATTGGCTAAGTATATATCTTTATCCATGTATATACTCAATCCTATATTGTATCTGATTCTGAACAATTAGAAAGAGTTGGTTGTAAAAGAAGTAATGCGGGTATCTGAATAAAGCACTATTGAAACTGGATGCTTCAAAACAGCCAGGGAGAAAAAGGCTGAGGGGCATTGTTCTTACCCTGTCCTTCATTTTGCCACGTTTTCTTCTCTTATCAAGAGGAAAATGAGGAAATGAATTCCTAAAGTCTGGGTAGAGAAGAGTTAACACCTCAGGATCTTGATAGGACCTGTGATACCACCAGGCCTCTTTCATGATATTGGCCATTGGGGCCCTTTTTCTTTCCCATCTCAGGAACCCAAGCATGACCAGGAAGCTCTTCACAAATACCAGGGAGCGGTGGAGGCAGCAGAATGTCAACAGTGCTTTTGCCAAGCTGAGGAAGCTTATCCCCACTCACCCTCCAGATAAAAAGCTGAGCAAAAATGAAACTCTTCGTCTGGCCATGAAGTATATCAACTTCTTGGTCAAGGTCTTAGGGGAGCAAGGCCTGCAGCAAACAGGAGTGGCTGCTCAGGGAAACATTCTGGGGCTCTTCCCCCAAGGACCCCACCTGCTGGGCCTGGAGGACAGGACTCTACTTGATGACTGCCAGGTTCCTTCAACTGGCCCAAGCCACCAGATGCCATAGTGTGGCTCAGGCTGTCATCTCTCTGAGTAGCACTTGTTCAGAAGTCACTGGCTGTTGACAGCCTTTTGCTTGTTCCAGAGTCAAGTTGATGAATAATTTGTCAGGCATGAGTTTACACTTCATAGGAAGTGGCTCAGGGACAGCTTGCAGGGAGCCTCAAAGAGGTCGTGAGGAAGGCCCCACCTCCAGGCTTCAGGAGTGTGGCCTGCCTCTGTCTCCTTTATATATTCAGGCCTGCAGAGATGTTTAAAAAATTTCATGAGTTTAAAAAAAGGCTTGAAAATCACTGTTTTAGTCAGTATGTCTTTAGTTACAAGAAAGGAGTTTTCTTATAATGGAGCTCAGATGGATGAAGAAAGTGCTCCCCTTAGAACTTTCTAAAGTTTGTTTTACAAAATGAGGCACATTTGATCAAGGGTTGACAAAATAGATTTTAAGGCTGATGAATAAAAGATAACCCCTATAAAAATCAATCAGGGAGACTTGTGGGAAAATCTGTGGAGAGGAGACCCTCCTGAAGTGTGAGGATGACAGGAACTGAGCAGATATATGTGGAAGAGCTGTGCATCCTTTAAACTCTATACAGACGTTAGGTGTTACTTGTCTTGAGTCATTCATGCACATGTTATTTCTAAAGCCAAATGGTGGATAATATCTGTAAGAGGAAAGGACTTGATAACTGTGAATTAGAGGTCATAATTTTCTTATGAAAAATAGCTGAAATAGGTTAGCTAACCCCTTAGGTTCACATGTCAAGTACTAAAACTTTTAATTCAGTCTGAATTCCTGCTGATTTAAGACCTGTAAAATTCAAATAGAATTATGAAAATTTGAATATTATCTTTTAATGACTCATCTAACAAACAGAAAGCTTAAACAAAACATTTAGCATAGACAATAGAGATGTAATACCAGACTCTAATGAATTAATGAATCTGTAATTTGCCTTCCCTGCTGTGGAGCATTAGCTCAATCTTAAGCTGAGAGGGACAGTGCCCAACAAGTCAATGAAACGGCATGCGTCTGGCAGAACTCACCACCACACACACCACCTTGGTGATACTTGGATTCAAAGATGAGTCCCATAGTTGAGCCCAGACTACAAATAATTTCATTTGATTATCTCTGGGACATTTTCTTTCTCCAAAGTTCTCAGCAGTACATTGGTTTTAAAACGTTCTGAACCAGAGGTAGGAAATTGATGGATGTGAGATTAGAGATTTCCAGTGTGTACACAACAGAGGAATTTAAATTTCCTGCCACTCTAGAAAGAAGCTATTTTATTTACAAAAGGTTGAAATGAGTCTCTGTGGCTTGTGATCACAAGAAAGCTGGATGAGGCTCCCTCACAATCTCATTCCCCCCAAATAGTGAGGTCATCATGCCATTCACACTTGTAGCACAATGCATTCATCAGTTGCAATAAGTTTTCCATCAAAGTCCTTTATTTAAACTGCATTCAGTAAATTTCCCCACGGATCCAGCAGAGTCCTGGGAAATACATAAACACACACGAGGGGATTTCCCCCTAAATGTGCATTTCTTTCTCAAGAGTTTACGTGAAGTCAAGTTTGTGGCAAAACTATCAAGTGACTATGCACTTCAGAGCTTTAAAGACAGATGTCAACTGAGAAACATTACTTATGCTCTAGCTGGCATTAAATGAAAACAACACTTTACTCAGTATTTTCATCTTAGGGTATTTTTTTTTTTTATTGTTGTTGAAAATATACACAACAAAACATACACTAATTCAACAGTTTCTACATGAACAATACAGTGACATTGGTTACATCTTCAAGTTGTACAACCATTGTTACTCTCTTTTTCCAATTTTTTCCTCCTCTGTTGACATAAACTCATTTCCCCCTAAGCTTCCTATCTAACCTTTCAAGTTGCTATAATCCATTTGATCCCATAGAGTAAGTTCCATATTAGTTTCATTTTAATGCATTGCCGAGGAAGGCACAGAGGACCTCTTTTCCTGAATACAGGATTTTACTTGTCTGTTCATAAGTAGTGAACTTTTCTGTGTTGAAGCTATGGTCTGTGTGTACAAAGAGGGCCTTTCCACTGAAATGTAGCAGAGTGCTCCTGAAAAGTGAGGAGATCGCGTTATCATTTAACTATATGAGAGGGATAATTATTTAAAGAAGCCTTGCAGGAAATTCTTTGATAAATATTTAAAGTATTACTTTATGCAATTCACCTCTTTAAATTATTTCTTTTGCAAGCTTGGATTTTTGTATATTAAGTTGTATTAGTTTAAAGTGACTATCACAAGGAATTGTGGTTATACATGGACCAAAACCTCGACAATGTATCTATGAGACTAGAGCTAATTAAAAAATCACTCTAGGGTCTTCCCGGTGTCCTATACTTATGGCTTGATGAATATAGTGTAAGAATTTATGGCTTAACCATTATAGTTCACTGGATGGTCCATCTCTTTCTGGATAATTTAAGCCCAACAGAAAAGTTTAGACAGTTTACATCATCTATGGCTATTCTGTTGCTTGGAAAAAAGTGTTTGGTCTGCTATAGACACCACTGGAAACTTCCAGAAGTCATATATAACAGGTCCATTGATTCATAGAATGTCAGAACTAGAAAATATGACTACTGTCACTTCCTCATTGTACAGAGGAGAAAACAGGTCCAGAGTGTTTTGAAGTGACTTTCCTGAGGTCATGTGAACAGTTAGTTGAAACCCAGCATGAAGGGCCAGATCTCTTGACTCTGTATCCACATTTTCTATAGCCCCGTTCAGCCACCAATGAACAAGCACCTTACTATTGGGTTCATGTCTTTTCTATAGTGTTCAGTAATCTTCTTCATATGCCTTGTCATTGAAAGTGAATTATCATGCTTTGTAGAATGTGATTAGATGTATCGACCAAAGATTTCATTTGCTGATGTGTTTGATGAATTTTTAATCATTGATCATAATTTGTTATTTAACTGTTAATTTATTACAAATAAATTATTTAAGAAAAGAAATTGTTCTTCATTTTCTTTTTAAAATGAATTTTATAAATTTACTATCCTCAGAGCCACTGCTCTGGTTTGACCTTTCATCGTCTTTATTCTAGAGAAAATTCAGCACTCTCTGACTACAAAGAAACAAAGCCAAACCTGTTGCTGTGGTGTTGATTCTGACTCATAGCAACCCTATAGGACAGGATAGGGTTTCCAAGGAGCAGGTAAGGGATTCAAACTGCAGACCTTTTGGTTAGCAGCCAAATTCTTAACCACTGTGCCACCAGGGTTTCCACCCCTTGACTACTCTCCTTTATCTCCTCACTTCACTTCCCCCTTCACATAGCTCCCAATTGTCCTTCTTAAATCGCAGCTGTGGTCAGATCACTCCCCTGCTACCAGAGCTGCAGTGTCTTGTCCACCAGATTGAGACAAAAGCCATATCCAGGCAAACCAGGCCCTCTGCAGCCTGCCCTAATGTCCCCTTCCCTTTACCTCCCACAGTCTCATATATGTGTTGTACATTCTAATGAAACTTCTTCACCTAATGATCTCCAAACATGCCCCACTCTTTTCTTACCTCTTTGTTCTCGTGATTCAATTTGCTTTGATGAATGTTCCCATTCTCTCTTGTTCCACTTGCCATCTACCTGTGCTAAATTCTGCTTTCTAAAATCCTTCATGACTCATCTTAAACATAGATTTTCACTACTTAATCTAACCTCTCCTTCCTTTGAATCTCCTTGCATGTGCCTTATGGCCCTGGCTTGCTCTGTATTATAGACATCTGAGTATATTCTGTACCCCCTAACACGCTGAGATCTCCTTGAGGACAGCGACAATTTCTAACACTCAATTCTCACAACAGCCCCACAAGAGGCCCACTTTTAGGATTAGAAAACTGTACGAAGACTGGCTTTGTTAGGATATGCTTCTAGCCTTCATTAAAAGATGACACTGAAACGAAATTTAAACAGGCTGAATTTTCCTAAGAAACCCATAGTTCTTGAAAGTTTATTTCTCCTAATTTCCATTTAATGATATTCCTTGCAGCACCTGCCTTATGAGGTTTGATCACCTAAGAATGGCCTGAAATGGCTAAAATAAGCATAGATTTATACAACTGGCTTTGTCCTTAAAAAGGCAGAGGATGAAAGGGATCTGGGAGAATGGACCGCTTAACTGCTGACCTGCAGGTCAAAGGTTAGTTAAAGTCACATCCTTAAATAAAAAGGTTAAAGGTAAGGCGGGGGGGGGGGGAGGTGGATCTAAAAGTCCAATGGCAATGCAAAATGAGGGATTTAAAGCAGCGGGCGTTACAAAAGAAATGCCAAGAAATGAATGTAGTCAAAGGATTACAGGAAACCAGGGGGAAAGGTCCCTTGAACCAACTTTCACTTCAGTGTGTGTTGGAGTTTGCTGTACACAGGAAAACCATTTTATTTTCTCCTTATTGCTAATGCCTGTCATAAAGAGAAGGAACCCTGGTAGCGTAAACGGTTATGCGCTCGGCTGCTAACTGAAAGGTTGGCAGTTCAGATGCACCCAGCGGCTCTGAGGAAGAAAGACCTGCTGATCTGCTTCTGTAAAATTACAGCCAAGCTATGGGGCAGTTCTACTCTGTTACATGGGTCCCGATGAGTCGGAATCTACACAGGGACCCACAATCTCATATATGAGATTTTAAAGAGCACTGGATTTTTACATAAGCCTTAATTAGGTTTGTAACCTACCAGATGATATTTACTGTAAGAATTTAATTTGCAGAGCTCAAGAATTCTCTGGTAGCCTAATGAAGCAAGCTGTTTAACCACCCTTTCTGGGTAACTTTAAAAAACAAATGTGTTCAATATATTCACACACTTAGACCAAAGAAATTCTCCTTCTAGGAACCTATCATAAGGAAATAACCAGAATTATGGTTAAAGAATTGTGTACATGGATATCTATTTCAGAATTATTTACAATAAACATAAAACGATTCAAATAAGAGTAAGAACTAACATTCACTGAGTGCTTACTATATGCCAGGCACGGTGCCAGGAGCTTCACATGTATCAGTTAACCTAATCTTCATAACAATCCTCTAAGGTGCTTAGTATTATTGTTTCCATTTCACAGATGAGGAAACTGAAGTGTAGAAGGTTATTTAGCTTGTCCAAGTTCCCACTGAAGAGCTA